CTCCCCCCCCCCTCCAAACTTCCCACTGCTTGGTGAGCCAGGGACTCACCTACAGATGAGGATGCTGCCTACAGAGAACACTGGACAGATCCTGAATGGCACTTGCCCCGTGAGTTTGAAGTTCCTCCCAAAGCGCTCCAAGGAGGCTGAGCGAATTCTGATAGGGAAATGACCTGCTGGAACTCACTGGTGAGGGGTGTGGCTGATAGGACCGGAATCAACCTATCCGGTGGAAGACGCAGCTTAACTGCAGATGCCTGGAGAATCCACACGCAGCTGGGGTTCCTCCTTCGTTGGCAGGAGCTCAGGGGTGGACTGAGCAGCTGGACCTCTTTCCTAGCTGCCAGAAAATGAGATTACCTGAAATGTAAAAACACGGCAGTGTCTCTTTTCCCGCAACCATTTGTGCCTCTGTCTTGGCTGCTGCCCGCCGGCTCTTCTCCAGGTGTGTGAGTATCTGGACGCGCAGAGCTGACTAAACGTCTCTAGCTCTTTGGTCAGTTGTAGAATTTTTTTCTTACCTAACAGGATTACATGGCCCTCACCGCTGAGGGGAACCCAGATTGGAGGAGCCAGTGCCTGATACAAACAACAATCGGTTCTTTTCTGTCTACTCTTACGCTCACTACTACACAGGACACATCTGATACCAGATGTGGCGGGGTTGGGGGGTCCACAGACACCAACTGGAAGTCCTGTAATTCAATTAAATTCTGATACTATCTACCTGAAGTTAGCATTGGATGCCCCAAATTAAGGGCTCAATTCCACAAGACTGCTCCCCACTTCAGATGACATGGGAAGTAGATTGTCACCTACACTTCTAACCAACTAGCTCTAAATCAAAGTTCCCACAACCCCCTCCTTGGGTTCAATTAATCCCCTAGGATAGCTCAGAGAACTTAGGATAACACTTCTATGTACCCATTTATTATAAAGGATGTTAGGAGAGATACAGATTAACAGCTGGGTGAAGAGATGCATAAGGCAAAGCACTTGGGAAGGGGTGTGGCACTTCCATGCCTCTCTGGGCACACCACCCTCCAGGCAGCTCCCCATGTCAGCAGTCTAGAAGCTCTTTACACCCAGTCCTTTTGCGTTTTTACACCAACCGCTGGTCCCAAGTGGCATTTTCTTTATTCTTTTTAAAAAATTATTTATGTGAGGGGTCCAGCAGGTGGTGTGGTGGTTAAGGGTGCTGGACTCCCACATGGTCAAACGCGATTCAAATCCCAGAGCTGGCAGCTTGCTTTCTCACTCCCCCCTCACTCTGTCCCTCTCTGGTCAAATTAAAATAAATAAGTAAAGTAAAATAAAATTAATAATTCTTTTTTTAAAAAATATTTATTCGATTTTATTTAGTATCATTATTTTTTAATTTGACCAGACAGAAAGAGGGAAAGTAAGAAAGCAAGCCACCAGGTCTGGGACTCGAACCTTAGTTGGTCATGTGGGAATCCAGCACTTTAACCACCACGCCACCTGCAGGCTTCCCAGAGTGGCATTTTCTTAAAAAATTAAAGCATTCACATGTGACCCAGCAATCCCACTCCCATGTAGATGCCCAAGAGACCTTCTGTGTGGACATAAAGAAGGGCACAAAAAAATAACTGGTCCCTGGGCCTGCAGGTGGCGGTGGTTAGAGGCACAGGACTCCCATATGGCCGACCACGGTTCGATTCCTGGACCTGGTGGCTTGCTTTCTCACTTTCCTCTCTTTCATGTGTGCTCTCTCACTCTCTCTCTCTGTCCCTCTCTGGTCAAATAAAATAAATCCGAATAAAATAATTTTTTTGGAGAGGTTTTTCCTATAGCGTGCGTGCACTCGCCAGAAAGACAGAGAGACAGAAAGTGAGAAATCATCCCCCAGGGGGGATGGTCACGCCGCAATCCCTTCTCCTCCATTCTCCTCTTGGGATCTTGGGCACGCACGCACATGCGCCCGGCGTGAGTTTAAGCCACCGGGTCCGGGACTCGAACCGTGGTTGGCTATGTGGGAGTCCAGCGACATAGCCATTACGCTACTCTGGGAGGCCTGCAGGTGGCGTGAGGGTCCCTGGATCTGAAACAGATTAGAAAAGGATATTGGAAAAGTGTGAAATCAAGATGATGCCTGTAGTTTTATTTAACAGGAATGTGCCAATGTCAACTTCTTGGTTTCAACAAATATACCATAGTTACATATGATGTTAGGGGCTAGCATGGTGGTGATGGCCCTGGATCCCATATTGCCTACTGTGGTTCAAGTCCCAGATCTGGTGGCTTAAAAACATGCTGGGCACTTGTGTGTGTGCGCCAAAAATTCTAAGAGGAGAATGGAGGAGAAGAAATTGCAACATGGCCATCCCCCTCAAAGGACTGATTTCTCACTTTCTCTCTGGTGAGTACACACACCCTATGGCAAAAAAAAAAAAAATCTAAATTAAAAATTACAGAGACTGGGTGAAGGTATACAGGAAATCTGTACCATCTGTACTGCTTTAGTATAAATCTAAAATAATACCAAAATAAAAAGGATTGAAAATAAAAATCAAAATGTCATATCGATTTTTGCAAATTGTATTTCTACCACTCTTGTTCCACTTTTCAAAGACGGGATACATTTTAATTTTTCTAAAGAAAGACTTTACCAAGTCTTTTCATTCTTTTTAGTGCTATAGAATCTGACATGTAGGACACCAGAATGACAAGCCTAAGGGGAAAGGACCCAGCCATTTTCTCACTGTGACTTTTTGAAGTCACAGAGCTGGAAGGAACCTTAATGTTTTGCCAATTCACTATCATACTCAGTAGAGGATCCTCAGGAGATGGATGAGAACCATCTTGTTGATGCATAAACAGAGGATCTCACCCATGTGGCCCCATCCATTTTAAGGCCTTCAAAGCCTTAGAAACAGCTGGTTCTACGATTTCTCTTTTCCAGGGTAAATACCCAAATCGTCAACCATTTCCATGCTATACACTGTACAAATT